AGATGGATGGATGTTTGTTAGAGTTTGTAGCCTAAGCGGCTGAACGTATTCTTGTTGTCGACAGTTGGTGACTAAGAGCGGGCGCACACCCTTACGCACAACTCTCGCACAACTGTGGTGCGATTGTCGCTTGTTTCGCAGCCAATTCAACTGTTTAGTTGCACAACTAAGTAGTGTGCGTACCTCCATTTAAGTTCGTAGGAATTAAAGTGAGTCTAAACAGTTGTGCGATAGTTTATTTTCAGGTGTAAGCACGCTTTAATACTGCCAATAACACAGCTAAGTATATTCTCTCTGATCACCATAATTCTGTTATATTATTCTCATAGAACTCTTTATACGAGCAAATACTTTTAATTAAAGTATGTAGGTATGAGAGCGCAGTCATTTTATTGCGTCGGTACCGAGGGGATTCAATTAGCCTCCACTGCGGGCCCTCGAGCGTGCCTTTACATCCGTTTCATGAAGTGCATCGCGTAATGAGCCATTCTTAAGTTTTGCACCATTTCAAATAATAAATATGGTACATTACCCTTAAATGATTTATTGGAAGCTGAAATTATTTACATCATGTCACATTTACAATCACATCACAATAAATACCCTAAAAGTCTACAACAATGTCTCACAGAAGTTTTTTTATAAAAGTACAGAAGATAAAACAATTGGTGAAGTATTTTCTGTTATTTCATACGGGTAAAAATAGCCAGCCCCATATACAAAATGTCATATGAAACAAAAAAAAAATAAGAGATATAACAAGAAACAAAGATAAATACGAGTATACTTACAATTTAAAAAATTAAAGAAAATATACTGCAATTTATTTAAAAGTACATCGCCAGTGTTATGTGTCGTCACATGTACCGGTACCTTAGATCAAACTCTACTCCTAAAGATTAAACTCGAGACTCAAGTGATGCGACGACACTAAAGCTAGGAAATGTTTGTCGTACAAATACACAGACGAGCAAAGGAAAATCAGTCTCTAAAGTGAGGTACACTATTTTTCTAAACGTTAAAATATTTTATTCAATAAGAAAATTTTATTTTCTTTTTCTTATTGAATAAAATCTCTACACGAATGTATAAGATCATCACCAGCTCGCTTTATGTAACTAGACCATAGTCGACCACGCTGGCCCACTGCGGGTTGGTTGACACACATATCTTTGAATTTCTTCTCCGATATGTGCAGGTCGCATCACGATGTTTTCCTTCACCGTAAGAACGTCAAGTGATTTATGTGCATATTATTTGAAAATCAAAAATCACATTGGTATATGGCTCGAACCCAAGACCGTTGATTACAAGTCAAGTGCTTAACCCCCTGAGCCACCGATGAATTGGATTTGGATTTAAAAAGGATTAATTTGATATAACCTTGATAAGTACATATGTATTTGATAATCGATTAATGTATTTATTTATTACGAGCCACCTATATTAATTATTACTTTTTTAATTTACTTAGTTAAGTTGTGAATAATTTATAGCGTATGATGCCTTAATTCGTAAATTAAAGTTTGTTGTCAATGTAATTATCTATACTATTATAATGAAGCGTAAACACACACTTCTTTGTTGCCTAAGATGTCTGCAATTACTGCATGTTTTTCAATAATTATTTTTTTGACAAAAAGCCCTACATAAAAAATTAAATATTTGGATAAAATCCACTAATCTGGGAAAGAGACCATCAGTTGCTGCCAACAAGCAAGCAAGGTTGCCATGTTTTGTCATCTTGTCATGTCATTTTGACATGTAAAGAATAAAATAAAATTTTCATAATTTTATGCTTATGAAGTCGCAAGGGAACAGCTAGTTAGTTATATTTCTGGATCGCTAAGTTATTAAATTATTTTATTACATCATTGCAAATAGCGAACATAGTAAGCAGATTCCCGTAATTGCCTCTTCAAGTAGACATCGATTTTCTTGCTGGAGCGACAGCCTTTCAAGCGCAGATATTATGAAACTAAAGCGATGCAATAAAATTGTTTACCCAAGAAAATGTAAACGGAGAGCCAATTAAAATAGAATAGGAGGGAAAGAGGAGTACAAGCTGTTTATATAATGAAGCCTTCTTATACTATAGAATTAAATTAAATGTGAAATAAATTTACTATCGGTGTTTTAAGATAAATACGAAGAATTAGTGTAGTAATGAATACTACTAATTTACCTTTTACTTTGTTGAATAATAAAATTAGAGTTTCCGTTCGTAATATCTTAAGAAAAAAATCAGATTTCGGGAAGATGTTGTTTTTGGGTTGCTGATAACGAAAATCGCAGTTAAAACTTTTATGTTTGTCTGTCCGTAAGCTGTGTTTGTTCCGGGCAATCTCTGAAACGGCGGGGCCGATTTCGACCGGACTTTCACTGAACGGTAGCTAACAAAGACGGGCATATCATAGGGTAATTTTTTATCTTAATATTGCGTGGACGAAGTCGCGTGCAACAGCTATTTGTTAATAAAATTTCTGGTAAAACATAGTGATTGAATGTAACAATACGTAAAATCTATAATTATATATTCGCTCAAATATTACACATCTTGTAACAAGTAAAGAAAACAAAAGTCACCTCGTGCCGATAGCACGTGCATGTGTGCAAGGCATTCAACATTTTTTGCTAACACGTAATATCTTCAAATAAATAAACACATTTAGCGTACTCTTATTGAAGGTCAAACGAATAAACAAAAAGAAAAGTAACTGTTTATCAATAATGGAATTTATTTGGATCTTATCGTGTATGACTTCCTCAGTGATCGAGCAACATATCTATCTAATGACGTAAGCGCTTAAAATATTTGATGGTATTAATTACGAGTAGATCTCCTCATGTATTGCCACAACGAACAGTCAAGTAGCGCGTATACGGCGCATATCGACAACTTTGACCAGTCAGTCCACCCTTAGGACCGCTTTAATCCAGCAGCGATCTTACCAATATTGGTTGGTTGGAATTCAACTACAAATATTATGTCAAAAGAATTGAAAGTTACTTTGAGTGTCTGTTTTTCTTTATTATTATTAAGGTAATTTGTTAATGTTAAATAACTTTTCCAATATTGTAATTCATAAAAAAACTTACAACAAAACAATACTTCAAACAAAACTCTTCTTTTCTTTGTTGTTCGTTCTATATTAAACGAAGTGTTAGCAATTTACTCGCGATCGCTATAACAAAGGGAATGAAGACGCCGGACCTTATCGTTTAATAAAAGAACTAAACACGATACCAGTGCATTTTCTAGAAAATATTTCTTTCCTTTGTCGTGTGAAAAACTAAATGAAAATATGTTTACAACTGAAATTCATTTGAGGTGCATCACTGACTTAGTTCGTTTATTTGTTTACTGAAGTATAAAATGTGATATTTAAAGAATTATTACATCAAAGTTTAACTATATGTACATATGTAAAATCCCATTTTTTTTTCATTAATTCCGCACGGACAATGTTGCAGGAATAAGTTAGTTTTCATAAACAGAAATGTCAAAACTGTGAAGATTTTTGTTTGATTTACGCAATTAAAAATCCTAACCCTACAAATTAATTAATTCTGTTAATTGACCAACAAACGCGTAACGCTACCGTGACCATGCTGCGTTCTATTCATCGCGTATTACTTTTATAAAGGTTAAAAAGCTAAACAAGGAAATAACGAGATGGATATCTAATTTATTGTTATAATCGCTTACCATAATGCTAATTTGTAATATTATTGATGAGTGTTTTTTATTACTATACAAAGATGAATTCTAACGATGGAATTATATTATTAATATATACTTAATAGGTAATAATAAATAGATAATATAACAGCAGGTGTAACAAATATAACAACACTTTTGTAATATTCACTATATTTTATTATATTTGTTTAATTACATAAATATACTTCGGTCTAAGTTAAGTCTAAGTAAACCATGTGTAGATGAGATCTGAACATCGAACTTCGTAACTATTAGTACCTACTTGAGAACTGCCCTATACACGTACTTACATTTGACTGTTAAATCTTTTTTAACTTTTCAGTGTATAATGACTAACTCACGTTAGGATAATGTTCACAGCTAAATCCAGATTTACATTTTAATGGCTCTTATACGTGAAATAATGAATGCAACTTTAGGTTATTCGGTTCGACCATTACACGGCTTAGTGAATAGCTTTTACGTACGTCGAGAACCGTAGCAGATTAATTTGCACCGACGCTCTTCAGACGGGGCTTAAATTCATCCGGTGTTAACTAGCCCTAGTCGGTTCAAATCGGCTCGACTCTTGTGCCCGGATCCATTTGCTACCACTTCAGCGGAATTAAAATCGGATCGGACTACGAAATGGATGAAAATCTATTTGGATCACGTAAAAAAATAATGGTAGTCTAGATTTTTGTATGTACAAGAAATTGAAGTACTAATAACCTATCCGTAACGTATTAGGTTTAAAAACGTTTTTATGATAGGTAATCGATGAAGTAGAGTTTTTCTCTAGTTGAGATTAATCTTTATAAGAGTTACGTTAAGGATTTTTTTTTTATTTCTCTCTAAAAACAATTAGAAATTTATTTTTCCCACAATTTGTTGTTCTTACAGCCACTACCTTTGGCTATAAGTATTTAGCTTTGTAAGGCGTTTGAGATCTGAAATATACGGCGCACTTAAGTACGTTGTGTCAAAGGCAACGTGATCCCAGTTCCTGTCCGGGCGGGACAGTGATAGCAACAACGTGTACGATCAATAAGAGCCATGTCATCTATCACGTGTCTCGTTCATGTTTACGTTATAACTACGCTTTTACATGATAACGATGTTCAGCTTAATTTTCCACACGTTTAACATTACTTATATTTACATTCTCGTACATTGGCTCATAATGCTCCTAATGCTCGGTTTTAGAAGTGATTTTAGGAGAAAAAAATTTGTAGATCGATGATTTTATAAAAATGTTTTTGCAGATTTCATTTGAATAATAACACCATTGTTTCAGCTTATTCTACAAGTAGCGGAGAAGTCGTTTCCGAACTTGATGAGTATAATAAACTCAGCTATAACTGGTGTTTTCGGTAGATATAATTCTCCCATCACCGATGTAAGAGTCCGAGACTTGCTGCTTGATGGAATTAAATTTTGTGAAAACCCCGGACTTATCGCTGGAATTGTATGCACACAAATTAGAAGCATTGGAGCTACTTCTAATAATTTAGTTGTACAAGATGATGGTTCTATTATATTCGCACTTCTTACATCAGTAAGTAACTTTTATGTATCACTAGCTTTCGCTCGCGACTCCGTCCGCGTGGAATTAAAATAACAAAAATGAGTAGCCTATGTATTATCCCAGGCTATCCTCTATATCTGTACAAAATTTCACCGAAGTCCGTGCAGCCTTTTACAACAAACTACAAACTCTAACAAACATCCATCCATCCATCTAAACTTTCGCATTTATAATATTAGTTAGTTAGATTTTTGTATGACATTAAACAACTAGTGTATGTTAATTTAAGCTTTAATTATTCATCATCATAAGTACGATTTCTAAATGAAACTTTAAAAAATAATAAACCAGGTGAAAGAAAAATTTAAATTCTTATGCAAAAATAAATGTATGAAATGTTAAGTATATTTCATCATTAAATCAGGATTACCTATTTTGTGAGCTAACTTTTCATAATCCACAAAAACGTACTTCTCTTCAATCTTAAAAAAAACCTCGGAAAAACCTTAACGAATACGAAAAATATTTTTGTAGAATCAATACCTTCGTTTGTAAAGCCGCAAATTAGTCTGTCAAAAACAAATTCTATGATTGTCAGCTGCCTGAGGCATTTTGCACAACTGTTTCCAGTGGATCAACGCATTTTTAAACTCTGGCTTTTTCATTTTTTTTTAAACTGAACGAATTCGAAACATGCCAAACAGTAGAGTTGATATTTGTGGAAACATTTCAATGCATCGAGTTTATATTTTAGGCTACAAACTCGAGCAATTAAAACGAAGTTCCATATTCTGTAGCTAATACCGGCCAGTAATTGGACATGAGATAGAAATTGAAGTCGCGTAGGAATGCTTGCGCGATATTCAAACTATCATTTTGTGTGTATATTTCACTTCACTTTTTTTTTAAATAATAGACACTAGTCAAAAATTTGAACCTCACTTTAAGAGCGGGCACACACCTTTGACTAAACTATCGCGAAACTGTTGTGCGATTGTCGATTGTTTCGCAGCCCATTCAACTGTTTAGTTACACAATTAAAAAATGAGTAGTGTACGCAGCTACACATAAGCTCTTAAAAATTAAAGCGCGACTAAACAGTTGTGCGATAGGGTAGTCAAAAGTGTGAGCGCGCTATCATAATTACTAACAATCCTACATAACTATTAAAGGAGATGGAATATTACAATGGGAATTAATGCGAAATTGCACAAAAAACTTTTGTTTGAGTAAACACATGACTAGAAGCAGTCTGAAAATAGCGTAGAAGCGGAAAAATAACATACAAGAATTGAATCAATTGAATATAACGTTCGATGTAAACGTAGATAAAATACTCCTTTGTAGTTTTCCATATTTCTTATTTCCGGACGACTGCATATGTAATACGAGAGAAAACTTGCTTTGAAAATATGTTTAATATTTTTCAATTCTATGCTCCAGTTTGTTAGATAAGCTTACACATACAAGCAAAACTTGAAAGTCACTTCAGTCCGTAAAGATCGAAATCATACAACTCGTATATTATAAAAATTATACGCAACATATTTTTCTAATAATCAATGCGATTATTGAACCCAATATGATTTGGATGATAAAATACAATTAACATTGTATAGTATTTAATCAAATTATTGTAATGGATAATACCTTTGTAGCGAATACAACCCAGCAGCTTGTACAAGGTGCACAGAGGTATTAACAATCCAGAGGACTTGGGGCGCACTATATCTCTGAATGGATCCTCGCAATTTCACTATTGGATTGACGAGGAGGAAGGAAAGCCGAGCGTCTGCAACATGATTAATGGAACCGACGCTAGTATATACAATCCATTTGTCGATAATACAAAATCACTATTCGGAATCAATACAGACATATGCAGGCAAGTTTCCATTATCCGTGCATCCATTAGAGTTAACATGTTAATACCTATAATCCGCTTAGCTTTTCGGAACCCTATGTTCTGTAATCTGACTGATGTACATTTAGTGCAATGATATTAAGAGCACTGCTTTCATGTTTTTATATTGTCAAAATGCAAATCGTTACTCTAATCCTAAGTGGACGTTAGAGTCGGAACAAATCAGTCAAAATACTAGCTCGTTTGACCAGATTTGAGATATTTTTCTTCTTCGTCTTTACAAACTGATCATGGTTATTATAATTTAGGATAGAAATTGTATAAATTTGACTTCAGCAAGCAACTTTTATTTCACGTTTGATTAATGTTAACTCTAAAGGCCAAGATAATGTTTCTAATATATTTTTTTAACAAGATAAAAATTTACAATATTTTTTTTTTCTTGGAAACATACGAACAAATAATATATGAAATACTAAAGCAATTAATTTCCATTGAAATTCAGCAGTCATTCATATGAAAGCATTAATGTGTGTTCTCATTTTCACCGAATGCGGAATGCTTTCCCGCGGGCAATGTTTGTACAAACCTATTCACTTACGACGTTAATTAGCAGATTTGAAGCAAAGTTCAAATTCAAATTGGCTTGAAACAAAACAAAGACTTAATGAACACATCATGAGGTACATCCCAAATGCATTCATATATAAATATTTGTTTGATTCGTACCAAAGGGGTGTCGCCCCCTCGGGGGATAATAAAGGGAGACTCACAGAGTATTGCTAGTGGCTGATAGATCTCATTTTAATTATTTCACGGTTGAATGAATCCAACGATAATCGGATTATGTTTTTATTCGCAGTGTAAGCCCCGATGTTTCCGTTAAAATTTTCAAAAAGGTAACCAATATTAAAATTTAAATTTACTATTTTCCGTGTTGTTTTACAGTCGACGTAGCCTTCAACGGAGGGCTTCCACTGTCGTCACACTGACATGAAAAGTTTTATGTATCCTCGGTAAAATATACGTTTTTGTACGTGCGTTTCGTCAATGGAAACTCACATTACTGTCGCAGTACTAGTTATGCGAACATAAATCGGCTTAAATAAATAATTCATTTCATACTCGAATGCTCCTATGTTATTATTTATTCTGAATTTTGTAAAAATATTTTCAAAACGTTATACGGTCCACGTTTCAGTGAATATTAAAACTGTTTTCACTTAGGTGTTTACTTTTAGGACTCGGTCCTGAGCAGAAATGTTGGTTAAAATTTTTCATTTATATTTGTAGAAAGAAAACGAACCGCTTTGATAGCATACTTGTATAATGTTTGTTACTTCGATTTCTAACGAGCTTTTCTCTACCATCCCTCCTAGCTTCCACTTGCGATTTCACGAGCTCACAGCTCAGCAAAAAAATACGTAACTTATTTCTGAATCATTAAATGTATAGCTCAAAAGTTGTACTAATTTCACGGGTTAAAACGCTATAGATATGTACTTATATATAGATCGTATAGCTTTGTCGCGTGCTGTAGAAATAAGTCCAGACGCGGCACGTCGCGTCGCCGGGACGTTAGTGAGCGGATTTTAAATTCAAATGTAATTAAACAGAAACTTATCACCGTTGTACACCTTTAAAAATAATAATTTGCACACATTCGTGCACACTTATATATATATCGATGTAATTACTATGTTACAAAGCTCAAAGACGCATTTAGTTAATGAATCGTGCATTCAATTATCGATGTTAATGCATTTAGTAATGGCCTAGTCCATCTGTTTCATGTGTCCCTTTGTAAGCGCTAATCCCGACAACCAATTTGACGATGGCTCGCCTCCAGCTATTAGTTACCTTTAGCAAGACAGAGATAGCAAATTCATAATAACATACCTAAATGTATAGAACGGTAATCATAGACTAAGTTTACTCATAAAAGAGGTTTAGGCTAAGCGCCATCTGCTCTCAGCCACCTCAAGCCCGGTGAATCTGTACATGCCTCTTCAAGGCAAACAGTGACAACTCAATGACAAAAAAAAAATCATAGACTAAGATGGTCATATGCTCTCAAGTTTACTGGAGTCCAAAGGATAAGGTCCACGTTCTTATATACTTCAATCCAATGAAAAGAGTTACATCTATGGGTCCGTTAGATAAATAACTATTTTCGTCGGGTCTTTTGTTTACAAATTGTTAAATGTTTACCAGGTCTGTAGAACTACGCTATCAGCATGATACTGACTATGAGGGGATACCCGCATACAGATTCTCTGCGAACGAATGGTTTTTGGACAATGATGATGGGTGCTTCTGTCTCAATGCAACCAGTGGGATCACAAGAGAGGATGGCTGCTTGCTGAGGGGGGCTGCGGAACTTTACAGTTGTGTGGGTAAGTATGTATTTATTTCATAGTTTACTATGGTCTTACAAACAATGGATTTTCACTCGTCTTAGAACATATTGCCATTAATGGACAATACAGCTTCATAAAACAGTGGAAATAAAGAAGGGAATCGATGAAAATGCAAAAAATACAGACTAACTCATCCCCTACCTGTCATAATTAATTGCAGTTTTATATTTACTTAAATTCACATCTTTGCCAAGTTGCTCCTACGATGTCTAAATAAAAAAATGAACATCAAAGTAAAAGAGTTAAATCAAATAGAAAGATGTTGGTCATTAACGACGGCCAATCATCGAAGTGTATAAAACTTCATAGTATTCAGTCAAGTGAAATGTTCTGACGCTTGCAACGGACTTGATGGACGCTTCCATCTAGGAAATGAACTGAGGTACAAAGTAGGTCAAGTGAAAAATAGAGTCCGGCCGCTTATTTCTATCAGAGTTTATAAGGATGTAAGTCTGTTAACGCTATTTCAATTTAAACATGATTTTGTAACTAACGAAAACTACGTTTTAAAATTCTCAGCAAAATGTTTAGTTGAGGACAAAAATTTCCGATCCAATTCATTGCCATTTTTGTCTCTTACTATACCAAAGTGTTAAATCACACAGTTCTTTTGAAGACAGTGTGTTATGTCACAAAAGTTATTTGTCAATACATACTAATTTTGCTTTGTACAGTAAGATTACTAACAAGAAATACTCGATTTCTAGAGCCATATACTTAACCATGAACTTTATAGTTTCAAGGTTTAAAATGTGTTAAGTTCTTGTGTCAAAAAATCTTATATCATAATTTTATTACTATTAAATTTACTCATCGGTAATTATACAATCATTGATATTTTAGAACTAGTTATCGTCTGGGACTCCGTCTGCATGTTATTAAAAAACTAACTAACCTACGCGCTCTTGTAAATCGATATCTATCTAGTTATATATTAATTATTCCGACTTTCTGAAGTTAAATGGTAACTGACATCTAAATATCCATCCATCCAAACTTTGGAATTTACATTATTAATAAAGTGTACTTCGACAAATCAATAGGAACTGGTTAATGGTTATAAAAATAGTGTTCGAAGTCGTTTTCCAGTGAACAAAATAACTTAATTTGAACAGAGCAAACGACGGGCTTGTAACGTAAACTCGTCAAGGTTCTGTGTACATTGCAGTACACTGGTGAGTCGGTACACATGTCGAGCACGTCAGTACACTGCCGTACAATTTTCTTGCTTGCACACTTGATGAACTGAGTAATTCCACAGCTTTGTATGTACCTAGGTCTTCACGAGTCAAATTCAATTATAAGAATCGAATGAATGTGTCTTTCGATGTGATAATTTCACCAATGTGGCTGTGTATTTGTTTCTCTCGATTTGCATACATGTTTCAGGAGTAATAAAAATGTTTGTCATAATTAAAACAACTATTTAAAAAAAAAGATGAGTACTTAAATTCGTTTCGGTTACAATCTGACAAATGGTTATTTGTCGGATTGTAGTAGTTTTTCAGATACGCTTTATAATTAAGTATCCTTAATATTAAAATAAAATAATATCCTTAATATTAAAAAGTCTCTTAATAAACAATATGAGCATTGACAATACTGTCACATATTAAAAATGCCATTTCTACCTACATGCATATTTCTATACAATAACAACTATAGGATGTTAGATGTTTGCTTCATTATTCTCGTATTAATTAAGTAAATTGCATTCAACGAGATTCTTGTTGCTGGCATCCAATTTACTGAAAAATGCGTCTTTGAAGTGAATTTCTTGTAAATCCTTACCTCGTATCTCAACGTCCTTTATAAAAGCTTTTCCGAGATGCATAAAGCTAATTTATTTCTTGTAAACAAAGGGATTTGTATTCTGTGAGTAGTTAATAAAAGAGGATAAAGCAATACGAGAATTGTAAAGAACTCCGTAGCTCCTCTATTCCATAAATTAATTTTCTATGCAATTGACAGAACGCTTGTTGTACGGTAATTGCTAATCGTCTATTTTTCTTTGCGAAGTTAACCGACGTAGTTGATTAATTTAAATCGTCTATGAATTACTAAAGAGGAAATTCAATGATTGTATTTTTTTATCTGTAAAGAAGGTAACTAGTAAATTAAAGCCGCCCTTGAGCAAAACTTCTAGTAGCTTAGTCATAGTACGTGTATATCTATTGTAATATTTGTGCATAAAGTACTTTTAAATAAGTTTGAAAATTAGACAATGTATGGGTAAAATAGTTACAATGATCTAACTTGTAACAGTAATGGCCGTGGATAGAAGGCGAAATGATGCAACTAATTAAAGTTTAAATTTGTCTTAAACATAGGTCAGTTTAGATTAGCCTTACCTCAGTTTGCCATTTGACCTACTACGGAAGTTGTATGAACAAATGTTTACGTAAACGTTTACTCGCTAATCAGAGATGCGCAACCAAAAGTCGTCTTTATTGCCACCATTTATCCTGTACTTGTTTTCTACGCAATGTATTAGTCTGTTTATATTCGTAAACACAACACATTTTAAAGGTGTACATGGTGATTACGTACCATGAAATGTTTGATGTTTTTTTCTGTAAAAGTTTAAATTGATGTAATTTATAATAGCTTTTATTTGACTACCTGTGAGTTCGCGACGCGCTAGCCTCAAGGCAAACCGCTACGTTTGGAACATCAACACCGTTCAGCTGCCACTTGCTGCCCATCACTAGTTAACAACCCGTACCGATCGGATGATATAATTATCCGCGCTCCAAAATGCTCGGCAGTTTAATTTCCAACAATTAATATTACCGTTAAATACGGGTGTGACACAGATAGTGCGCGGGCGCGCGGCGGGAGGCAAAGGTAAAAAAGCGAGCGTTCGGCCCCGGCGCGCCGACACACGTGAAGATGTATACCGTGGCATTGTTGACGAGTACGCTTTTAGCTCTCGTCGCGGCGCGTATTTACGAGCGCTGTGAACTCGCACGCGACCTGCTCCAGCTGGGTGTGCGCAAAGACCATATAGCAACATGGGTCTGCATCGCCTACCACGAGTCTCGTTTCGATACCGCAGCACGCAATCCCAGCAGCGGCGACCACGGACTGCTGCAGATCAGCGAAATATACTGGTGTGGCGCCGGCAAGGCTTGCGGACTTCCTTGTTCTGCATTACGTGACGATGACATCTCTGATGATGTAGAGTGTGCACTTAGCATATATGAAGAACACACGCGGATACAAGGGAACGGCTTTCTCGCGTGGGTCGTGTATCCACATTATTGTAAACACAATGCGAAAAAATATTTAGCCGACTGCGATCATTCTGCCAAAGATTCAAGCTACAAATTTGAAGATAGAGGGCGTACATTTACATATGATTCTTACCCTAACATTAACTTTACTTTATCAAATCCAGTGAAAAGTGAGTTTTCGTATTCTCAAAGTGATCGTTCCGTTCCATCTTTCCTTTCGATAGCATCTTTACTTCGCGGTAAATACGAGCAAGACTTTGAAAGAGATTATAATAAAAATAAAAGAGTGAACTGGGTACAGTTTAAAGTCGACAATGTAGATGATTTGATATTGCCTGATTTCAACAGAAGACCCAATTTCCTAGAACCACGAACACGCATATCTACAACTTCTACTACAACAACTACGATGGAACCAGAACCGCAATACAAGCCTGTGAAACCCTGGAGAACCATAGAATCGAATCAATTTAGACGTAGAATGATGAAATTTAATAATACACCGCTTGAAGAAATTAAGAATAAGACTATGAACGATAATTCACTGGTTACCACGACCCTAAAATTGTTTACATCTACTGAATCAACTACGCATAGTTCAGCCTCAACGAACAGAATGTTACATGACAATTATAATTCAATAACAAGTAATGCGTGTTGTTCTACTGTGGCTCAATCAAGTCAAGCTTCAAGTTCCTCGACACAAAGACCACGTAGTTATTTTTCAACTAAAAATACAGTAACATCTGTCACAACACAAAAACCAGCAATATTTTTAACCACACAAAAACCTGCAATAACTTCCACGACACAGAAACCAGCAATAACGTTTACAACGTGGAAGCCAGCGTTTTCTTTCACGACGCAGAAATCACCTATAACTTTAACAACACAGAAACCAGCAACGTCTCTTTCGTTTCCAATAACCCAACAATATTACGGAGGATTGACTTCTCCTGAACAATTTCCAAAGAAGCTATCTGTTGTCACCGAAAATAGAGCCAAAAGTTTTTGGGACACTTTTGGTTATCTCACAACTCAATCGCCAAAGTTAAAGCCAGTTTCCTATACGACGAAGTCTTTAGAAACCACAACTGTGAAACCATACAAGCCAACACAATTAAATTTACAACAAAATGCATCAAGCCGAGAATCTCCAACTCAAGGGTACAACTCTGTAAATTTAAACAGGATTGCAACCACTGAGAGAACAAAAGAAAAGTTTACAGCGACACCAACACTAAAACAATTCCCCGTAACAAGACCAACTGCATTCACTTGGAGAACAACAAAAAGTTGGAATGTTCGTCAACCACAATACACACAAAGATATAATCCGATTACAACATATGTTAGTGAATATAAGACAGAAAGACCGTTTTCGTGGAGACGAGGAAAATCGTGGGCTAATGACAATCAAAATGGAACATATTTTAGCACTGAAACACCGACGACGACGACATCACATTATAATACAACGGAAATTCCTTCTACAACCTCAAGGCAACATAATAATCAAAGTGTCTATCAATTAACAAATGGTTTATCGTCAACAACCACATCATCTCTATCTTCCAGTACTTCAACGACATCGAGTACTCTATCAAAGAAAAAACAAGAATTAACTGAAGGATTTGCATCGACATCGCCGGCAACTACAAAATCTTCCTTCTCTATATTCGATATCTACTTAAATCCTGCTAAACGCCAACAAGTTCCAAACTTCAAGGTTTTATTTTCTGATAACAGCGCTTCTAATTTTAAAATATTTTCCGGAGGAACCACCTCAGCCCCATTAAATAGGAGTATTTCTAAAAAAAGTTAACAACTTACCAGTGGAGTGCAAAGCTAAATTAGGGCACGGACTTTTTATCATTTTTACCTGATATTATAATTTGTTGCAAGACTTTAAAATACTATTTATTTTGTGATTATAAAACTGCGAATGTGTATATAAATATATAGTGTGAGATTAAGGGCATTTATTATTAATTTTTTATACTATTCATACATAAGACAAAAAAAAGTATTCATTATTGGTTTAAAAACTGCTATGCGATTTTTAAAAAATGTTCTTATCTTATTCGTAAAAGCGTAAAAAAACACAACAAATATTATGATACGTCCTTCGAATGTTATTCAAATACATTAAAATGTGTTTGTCGCAAAAATATACTGTTCGTAGTTTGTTTTTTCATAATAATCATAAATATCTGCTCTAAAAGCTATTCAGATTTTACATTTGAAACAAATGTTTTCTGGTGGTCTAAGTACTCATTTTGGAAACTATTTTTGTCTATAAATTATTTTTATTGTGTTGTCGTACTAAATTATTGAAAAATAAATCTAATAAAGATTCGACATTACTGAGACTTGTATTACAACATACTAGCTGTTGCTCGCGACTTCATCTCCGATTTAGTAATTTTTAACTAAATGAAGCCTGAATGTTATTCAGTGATAATGTAACTTTTTAATAGTCAAAGAATTTTTGATTTAGATCTAAAAGTTTTTGAGTTATTACAATACAAAAATACAAATCTTTCCTCTTAATATTAAAGTATAGACTCTACTATTATAGTATAGACAACAGGAACTATCTATGATAATCTTTACTAATATTAATTTGCTGTTCCTGTTTGCTCAAAGGGAATGTAAGGGATGACCAGATGTAATAATTCACGTGTCAGTGCAGTGGAGTTCTAGGGTTAAGTTCAATGCTCGGATGTAGTGAAATGTTTGAATAATTCACCAACTTCTTTGGCTCTCGGTGTATTGACCTCTGTCATACAAACCTTCTTAGTATCTCATTGCGCATGCATTACATCAGACTTGGTAAGAAACGTGTATGTAGCTAAGTTTGAGAAAATTCCGTTACGCTATAAGGCTAAATATAATGTTATTTTACGCAGTTGTTCGGTGCTAAATTACGATCTTGATTAAAATGTTTATTAAACGATCTGATAACAAAGCGATAATATCTTAATTATTAGCGGACATAGGTCAGGTGTCCTTTAATAAAAAAAGTAAGAATTGTAAGCTACTAGTATTATGTAGTTTTAAGTAATCTTAAAGTATTTGTAAAGAAAACAACATTTCATTTGACAAATTTTGTTGCTTTTTAAATCTTACTATCTTACTAATCTTACTAATTACTAATATTATAAATGCGAAAGTTTAGATGGATGGATGGATAGATGGATGGATGGATGGATGGATGTTTGTTAGCATTTGTAGCCTAAACGGCTGAACGGATCTCCATGAAATTTGGCACAGGTTTAGAGCATAGTCTGGAAGAACACATAGGCTACTTTTTATCCCTGGAATAGTTACGGTTCCCGTGAGATTCATTGATTAAGTTTTTTAATGTTTACTCGATCATTCTGCAACGGTTCCACATATCTTATTAAAATTTGGCACAGATATAAAACAAAGTCTGGAGTATACATGGGATAAGCTTTATCCCCGAGAAATGTACGGTTCCCGAGAGATACGTAGCTTTTTGTAATTTATATAGTTTGTATGTTTCCTATTAACACGCGTACGAAGTCGCGGGCAACAGCTCGTACTTTATACATATGTCGGCGCTTCGTGTACGATATGTCAAAGAGTATATAGGTGAGTTCATCAATGTGATGTATTATTTAACATCTTGACCTTTGCTGTTTCAATCATTCCATTTTTAAGGTTAATAGTGACAATTAATATTCAATGTTTGACATCTACAGTAGGTAAACCAGCAGAGTTGTTGGTCAACGACATAGCATCTTGTTAAACTGGTTATTCTTTGATAGGTGCGAGAAAATGTTAATATTATTTACAGTTTTATTTTTACTTAACAACTAATATTGATACTTGTAAACAATTGTAGTTGATTACTTTAGTCACTAATTGTAGATTTAAGATGAGAAAACTACACTAAGCGAGTGTTCAATTAGCAGTTGAAAGTTTGAGTGCAGCTTTGTCTGACCCCAACTGAACATAAAACGATTTCCTAACAAAGAGTTCATTGTTTCCGAAATGTTGCAAAAGAGGATTAGTGGATTTTAATGGAGAGTATTTGTTAGATGTTTTCATTCGTGTGTTTGACAGTAAATTGTGTAATTATTTTTCCCGTTCTCTTTACAGTTGGTTAAATGCAACAGGAATTTTTATTACCATCCCCGGCGCCAATTTACAAGCTTTTTATCACAAAATTGATGATATTGAATAGTTTTTCGTATCGAAAGGTCACACATTGGTACTGGGTTTTTATATATTTTTATTGAGTAATAAAAAAGAGAGTGCAAATTCATATACGAACTTTTAAATGTCAAACCGTAAATATTGCCAATAATTTATAACCTAAATAAAAATAGGTATTGTTTATAAAAATAAAATGGAATTTGGTCGGTAGAATAGTTGGAAGTAAATAGTGCAAGCAGCTTTTGTACAATCAGACTGTGATTTTGGCTATGTTCTTATTGTATCGATGTATTAATTGAGCGTTAGTATTCAAACTATCTGCACATTTTCACTGTAATTCTATAGTTGATTCTACGTTACTAGATGTAGGTTCATACCTACAGTTATCTGTACTTCGAATAATTATTTAGGGACTAATTACTTCGTTAGTTGTATTTACCTTTGCGATATTTCCAACATATTTTTCACTGCAGTCATTGGTTACATTTCACATTAACAGACATGCTTTAGTTGAATTTATGTGAAAAGGATACTTAAGTTAGAAATATAAAAAATAAGACCTGACCTCAATTAATATAGACTAAAAGAATTATATTTAAACTTGCTCTACAAGCTTGAAAGGAAAACGTAAGCTTTCATTTTGAAATATATGAACACGCTTGTAAAAGTTGCAATTATATCGTATTCGTAATATTTAATGCCTCCAACTCACAGTCCATGGTGCCTGCCACCCACAACTCCCCCTACCCCTTCTCCGGAGAGTGAATTTCCCTCCGCTAAAATTGCAAAACTTTCAACATTATTTTCTCGATCTAATAGATTAACTGTTCGATACACTGTTGTTATTATTCTTCCGATACTAAGAGCGGGCACACACGTTGGACTAAACTATCGCACAACTGTTCTGCGATTGTCGATTGTTTTGCAGTCATTTCAACTGTTTTGTTACACAACTAAAAATGGAGTAGTATGCGTGCCACCATATAAGCTCATAGGCTACTAAACAGTTTTGAGATAGTTTAGTCAAAAGTGTGCGCGCTCTATAAAGGTTGATACCTCTAACGTACATGTCTCGGTTTATTACGAAGCATAACAATTCTTTGGCGAACTGAGTCCCAGTCCGTATTATAATACTCCGAAATACCGTTTTTTCCTGTTTGGCTAATGTCAGGGTCAAGGTCAAACTGAGTGAAAAATTTGAATGGGTAAAAGGGTAGCTTTTCGGAAGAAACGCTTATTCAATAGAAATCAGCACTGATTAAATGTAGAGAGGAAGTGCAGAAAGATATTTTTCAAATGTAAAAAACTCTCATTATGAATTACTCGATTATTATTAATTGATAATTTTAAATTTGTAAAATATCATTTACTGGTTAACTTACCTTATCAAGGTTTTAATATCAATACGTCAAAGTATTTGTAATGCAAAATTAATTTATAATAAAGGTAGAGTAAAAAGAAAGAAGCGACTAAGCTGCAAACTCACCCACGCGTGACCTCAGAGCTGTCAATAGCATACCATCTTCCTTTTGAATTGTTTGCCTATATAATTCTACTTAGAATAAACTATACGCCTAATCGTTGGTAATCACATTGTAGACATATTCAATTAATGTTTGAATTTAACTCTATCATGTCTTCGATATGAATATGCAATAAATTATTCAATAGTAACTCGTGTTGAGAACTGTATTTGCGTAAGGTAATTACATAAAGTAGTAAGTATTTTTACTAGATTGTATTGTCATTAAAATTTATCAATTACAAAATCGTTTTGATATTCATAACATTTTAACTTACTTATTAAAAATCTAATCTTAAGAAGCGAATTTTTAAAAGTGAAATAACATGTTAAAACACAATTCATATATTTTTGCGATAAACAACGGCAATGGTTCGACCTTCGCAATAAAGGTACTTTTTCGAAGGTCAAATCTTTTTGCTATTGGAATATGGTTTTCTGAAATACTTACACTCAGATAGTCATTTAATAGCTATTTAAGTATTTACTGTTGACAATACTAAATCTATACTAAGGGTACCCTTTACTGTCTATTTCACGTAATGTGGGTAGGGATACAAAGAAAAAGTGACACATTAACTATCAGATTTATAATAATAAGTTAGTATGATAAATAAAAATGTTGTTGAAATCTGTTTTACACGTAAATATAGCAGTATAACAAGTACATGTTGAATCTCTACCGCCAGTGTTCCGCCCGGGCTCCCGCCCCACTCCACTCCACGCTCGCTTTGCCCGCACCTCCCTGAGCCCTGAAAATCAATAACGCAGCGCCGTGCACTGACGTATTAAATTCTCAGCTCAAAACTGGGAACTAGTTTGCTACATGCCCTTATTTTGCTTTGGAAAATTTTGAGCTGCAATTTCGAAACTTTGCTCATGAAATTTGGAGTGTAGAATTGTAAAAAAAACGTTATAAAATCGTGAAACGTAAAACAATGTGGATGAAAAAAATCCATTTTTTATCAAGGTTAACAGCGAATTCATTTCTTAAATTCACCAAACACATAACCTGATATTTCATCATTCCTTTAACAAACAAATTGGAGCATTGTTATCTTTGTGACCGGACAAAGGAATTCAATCTCATAATTTATTTGGTTTCTATTACATCGTTACAAATTTATATATTAATGTATCCATACAATTTACTGTAGTCGGGGTATCAGTTTAACATTATTACTAGATTTTACCCGTGACCCCGTTCGCACGGAATAAAAAAAAAGTAGATGTTCT